GACCCCAGATATTGTACATCAATTGAGTATTCCAATCATTTTATCTTTTAATCACTCTGTGATAAACAACTGTATAAACTCCTGCAGTGATAGTTTTGAATGAACATTAAGCACAACTGTTTTGCTGCTTTAGCAGGTGACAGAAACATTTCATTATTTCTCTCTCTCTCTCTCTCTCTCTCTCTCTCTCTCTCTCTCTCTCTCTCTCTCTCTCTCTCTCTCTCTCTCTCTCTCTCTCATTACTGAAAATTGTATTTCACAAAATCATGCTTCAGTCAGTGACCTTTTATCTAAGCTTCTTTCCACCTGAAGCTGCATGCCATCCACAAAGTGTGGCAAATGTACATGGAAAGTAACTAATTTTTGTGCAGAAATGAAGTCATGTTTCAGCTACACTTAATCTTTGAACATTTGATCCCAAAATGAGTGGTATTTTACCTTACTCTAAATGCAAGACACCCATACATTTTACTGAAGGTCTGTCAATAGCAAAAATAAAGCTTTTGTGGATAAAGCATAGTTTTATCATTTAGTCTTGGTGACCTCCTTTTGTATGTGTGTACCTTTGTGTTTAAATGGGGTGAAGATGTTTCACAATGCTAAGTCATTTTTAGTTCCCCAGGTATTTTCAGTTTGTGTGCACCTTTGTGTTAAAATGGTATTTTCAGTTTAAGAGTATATTAAATGCTTTAGAGAAAACAGATACTAGACCTTATTTGATTCAAATTTGAATTTCAAGTCATATTTCAATAAAATTTATTCTCATCTGTGTAATGTTTCATTTTTGGGTCAAATTAACTGACTTGCCTTTGGGACTTCAAAACAGATTCTTCAATATCTGTGAGTTTGACAGGTATATGTAAGGTCAAAGGTCATGATCATTTTGATTGGATGAAGATGTGTTTTGCAGGATATCTTTTGTTCTAAAGTAAACTCCTGTACTGTGCAGTAAGTGTAATTAAAAATACATTTTGGGGTCTAAAGGTCCACATTATGGTGCGCCTGATGAGAAAGTAATGGTATCTGCATGGTATTAGTTTAGTTAAGACTACATACCTTGACCAAAATGTAAAGTCTCTGAATCCTATTGGTCATTAATCTCCAGAGTAAATGGTGGCAAGTTGGTGACTACATAGAGGACTGTTAAACATATGGCAGGCATATGATGTGCTACTTGCAGTGTGGCAGGCATATGATGTGCTACTTGTGGTATGGCAGGCATAAGATGTGGTACTTGCGGTGTGGCAGGCATATGCTGTGCTACTGTTGGTATGGCAGGCATATGCTGTGCTACTGTTGGTATGGCAGACATATGGTGTGCTACTGTTGGTATGGCAGACATATGGTGTGCTACTTGTGGTATGGCAGGCATATAGTGTGCTACTTATGGTATGGCAGGCATATGCTGTGCTACTGTTGGTATGGCAGGCATATGCTGTGCTACTGTTGGTATGGCAGGCTTATGCTGTGCTACTGTTGGTATGGCAGACATATGGTGTGCTACTTGTGGTATGGCAGGCATATAGTGTGCTACTTATGGTATGGCAGGCATATGATGTGCTACTTGTAGTACTCTTCTTCAATATTTGAAACATTTTATGTTTACTTGTGGGTTGTTTTTTTTAAGTTTTAGACAAACTTTGCTTTTCTGACCCAATGGGATCTCTTCTAGCTTCAGGGGAAAGGGTACCTCACAAGTATATTACCTAAAACACTATGTCATTTTTGCACCTTACTGTTTATATCTTTATATATACATGTTAATGTTCTGTCCACCCCTCCAAGTTCTACACTACAGAAAGAAACATTGTTTCATTATGTGGTTGTCTGCTGTAAAAATATATATTTATCTTTCCATTGTATATCAATATTTAATGTCTTCCATTTCTGATACCTCTCTTTCTCTCTCTCTCTCTCTCTCTCTCTCTCTCTCTCTCTCTCTCTCTCTCTCTCTCTCTCTCTCTCTCTATATATATATATATATATATATATATATATATATATATATATATATATATATAGAATACAAATCATATGGTGAATAACAACCCTTTCAAGTGCGCTGGATCCACTGGATGCACTAGTAGAATTTGACGTTTTCTAAATCTTCTTAGTATCCTTCAATTTTTACCATAAGAATAACCGGTATAGAATAAAATATCTGTGATATAATCTGCATTACATAAATGTACAAAAAAGTAAAAATAGATGTCGCTTTGGTTTGTAGACTTTTAGGGAATTATACACAGTTTTCAGTATCCACAACAAGTCTATACAAGCTGGTTGTATTTATAGTTTTACCTCATGTGGAGACAGCCATGTAGAGGTTTACAAACACAAAGTTTTTGTGTTTATTTGTTTGTCTTATATACGTTTTGTAACTACCGTTGAAAGAGACTCATTAAGAGTCGAAAGTGCTCAGGCTAGTTAGTTACTAGTTTCGCACTGTTTATTGCATCTATCTAATAATTAATACATCATGTGTCAACTTTATTTTCGTGTTCTCTCTCTCTCTCTCTCTCTCTCTCTCTGTATATATATATATATATATATATATATATATATATATATATATATATATATATATATATATATATATGTTGTTATAGGGTTTAATGCCATTTTTCAGCACAAGATATGCTATACATGGCAGCCAATATTAATGATGAAAAACCCTGGGAAAATCCCAGAAAGAACCATCGACCCACGAGAAACTACTGGCAAGCTTTCTCACATACACACATTGGCTGAATCCAGGACTCAAACCCATGCAGTCAGAGGTGAGATGGCAGTGACCCATAACAGTGAATGCTTTAGACCACACAGCCACTTAGGGTCCCTATATATTTATATATTTTTATAACAACAACAACAGCATATATATATATATATATATATATATATATATATATATATATATATATATATATATATATATATATATATATATCATTTGTTTGTAATTGGATTCAACTTGTTAGCAAGTATATAAAATTATGATAGTATTAGGTGTAAATGCATGATGCACACATCAGTTTGACTAGGTACATATTGGTAATGTAATGAATCTTACATTTGTCCACATGAAGGTCCTGTAGTATTTTAGCAAACATAGCAGGTAATAGTTTAACCAATTAAAATACAGCAAACAGTTTTTTGACTTTTGATTTTGTTTGGTACAAAGATGTTTATACTTAAGTAATGAGATACTCATAGAGGTGAATATATACTATTTCTAGGGTTGATAAATTTTTGCATCAACTAGGGTAAAAAGTCAGTAATTGTTTTATTATATGACTTTCAATTGCCTACATTTTTTGTTCATCTTTTATGGTCTGGAAATAGCACTCTTACTAATTTTGAAGTGTGTGCCAAATCAAATTGCACTGAAAAAGTTTAAGAAATATTAAACCATTAGACCATTGTTACTACCATCATTAATATAAATAACCAAACCAAACCAATTTCTGGGCACCTTATTTTATTATTGTTTTAATATTATCATCGATACATAAAATGTATGAGGAACAGGTACATTTTTGAAGCAGACAAAATCAACAAAAAACATTTGGATCTTTTAGACATTCTCTAAAAGAGGTGATTTAATAGACTGCCGCCATATTTTGAAACCACTCTGATAATTATCATGTGTATTAACAAAAGCTATTTTTACAGATGGGCAGCTTTGATGTTATCACCTTGATTATTTTTATGTACTATATATGTATGTTCGCTAGATTTTAATTACTATTCACCTGTCTACGTTGTCATACATTACTTACACTCCTCGTTGATCGTGAAACTTTATTTATTGATCGCCTTTACCATTTTCATTGTTTTACCTTAACTATTTGGTTTTGTATTGCTGGTCGATACAAAACCTTTTACGAATTGTAAATAATGAAGGATTTAACCTTTTGTATGGTGCTAAATAGCAATTAGTGCTGCTGCGCCGTAAAAATTCAACCAACCAACCAACAAATGGGTAGCAATAGCTATGGCTGAAACTTTACAGCACACCAACATGTAGGTCCTTAGAGTGTTATTAATATCCATTATGCTCACAAGTTGGAACAATTTCCTTCTTATTCAATGGATGATTTCCCTTGATAACCTTAATATGGACAGAATTCTATTGGATCTTCAGGCTTATAGTGGCATGGATGGATCATGGTCATGCTTAGTGGTCAGTTTTAGGCTTGTTGGGATTTAATCAGACAAGTTTTGTATTACTCCATGTCCAGTCAAACAGATTAAGGAACATTTTACATTCATGAACTTACTAAGAACTTTCAGAAATTAGAGTAATTGACTTTTTTGAAATTTGGTACAGGCATTTTCATTTGCATTAGAAAATTATTCATACTGTATCAGAATATATAAAAGTTTTACAGATTAGGATCTGTGGAATATCGTGATAGTTTATTGTGTACCTTTATTACTATAAGTGGCAGTTTAGGGGTGGGGATATTTATTACAAATGGTTGTTCTTGTTGTTATAGGGTTTAATGCCATTTTTCAGCACAAGATAGGCTATACATGGATGCCAGTATTATTAGTGGAGGAAGAACCCTGGAAAACCCCAGAAAGAACCAACCACCCACGAGACGCTACTGGTAGGCTTTCTAACGTGCCCATGTTAGCCAAGCCTGGACTCAATCTCATGCAGACAGAGGTGAGATGGTTCTGATCCATAATGGTCAGCGCTTTAGTACCCTCATCCACTCGGAGACCCTATCACCAATGGTAATGTAGGGCAAGTCACTAGGACTATTCGGTCAATTTACTGTGACCATTTATCACCAATGGCAATATATGTTGGTCCCATATAATATTTGGGTCATTTTTGTGCATATTTATCACATATAGCAATATATGGCTGGTTACATATGATATTTGGCAGTTTATTTGGAACTTGGCACCTTACAATGGCAACATAAGAATGGTCACAAGGGATATTTGCCTGGGTAGTTTTGTTGGTACATTACAATGGCAACAACCACTCCAGTGGCCTAGTGGTCAGAGCATCTGCCTCAGATGTGTAAGGTCACAGGTTCAAACCCCGGCCGAGTCATACCAAAACTTTAAAAATGGTACTAACAGCTGCCTTGCTTGGCACTCGGCATTAAGATGTTAGTGCTAGGACTGGTTGGCTTGGTGTCAGGATAATGTGACTGGGTTGGACATCATGCCACATGTCTGCGGCATGATGCCCCAGTAGTAGACATCACTATAAACTTTCACTGTAGCAATATGACTAAAAAAATTTTAAAAGCTACATTAAAAATCTAAATCACACACATAAACTGGCAACATAAGGATGGTCCCATGGGATATTTGCCTGGGTAGTTTACTTGGCACAATTAACACCAATTGCAATATACTTGAACAGAAAATCAGACAGTTTTGCAGTCTAAAAAAATGACCACCAGAACTGCAAGAAGAAATTTTTATTTGTGTAAGTAAACAATGAAACCTTGTTATTCAGTAAAACCTTGCCATACAATAAAAACTTGTCACACAAGCACTCTTTGTCGTCAAGCATGGAGATAATACAGCAAATCAATTTCAACCAACATTGAATTTGCTGAGTGCATCAATACACAACCTTCATTGAAGTTGCTGAATCCATCAATATACAACCATCATTGAAGTTGCTTAGTGCATCAAAACACAACCATCATTGAAGTTGCTGAGGTTATCCATATACAACCATCATTGAAGTTGCTGAGTGCATCAATACACAACCAACATTGAAGTTGCTGAATCCATCAATATACAACCATCATTGAAGTTGCTTAGTGCATCAAAACACAACCATCATTGAAGTTGCTGAGGTTATCCATATACAACCATCATTGAAGTTGCTGAGTGCATCAATACACAACCAACATTGAAGTTGCTGAATCCATCAATATACAACCATCATTGAAGTTGCTTAGTGCATCAAAACACAACCATCATTGAAGTTGCTGAGGTTATCCATATACAACCATCATTGAAGTTGCTGAGTAAATCAATACACAACCATCATTGAAGTTACTGAGTGCATCAATATACAACCATCATTGAAGCTGCTTAGGTCATCCATATACAACCATCATTGAAGTTGCTTAGTGCATCAAAACACAACCATCATTGAAGTTACTGAGTGCATTAATATACAACCATCATTGAAGTTACTGAGTGCATCAATATACAACCATCATTGAAGTTGCTGAGGTTATCCATATACAACCATCATTGAAGTTACTGAGTGCATCAATACACAACCATCATTGAAGTTGCTGAGAGCATCAATATACAACCATCATTGAAGTTGCTGAGTGCATCAATATACAACCATTGTTTAAGATGCTGAGTGCATCAATATACAGCCATCATTGAAGTTACTGAGTGCATTAATATATAACCATCATTGAAGTTGCTGAGGTTATCCATATACAACCATCATTGAAGTTGCTGAGTGCATCAATACACAACCAACATTGAAGTTGCTGAATCCATCAATATACAACCATCATTGAAGTTACTGAGTGCATTAATATACAACCATCATTGAAGTTACTGAGTGCATCAATATACAACCATCATTGAAGTTGCTGAGGTTATCCATATACAACCATCATTGAAGTTACTGAGTGCATCAATACACAACCATCATTGAAGTTGCTGAGAGCATCAATATACAACCATCATTGAAGTTGCTGAGTGCATCAATATACAACCATTGTTTAAGATGCTGAGTGCATCAATATACAGCCATCATTGAAGTTTCTGAGTGCATCAGTACACAACCATCATTGAAGTGACTGAGTGCATCTATATACAACCATCATTGAAGTTGCCGAGTGCATTAATCCTGAAAAATATTAATGTTCTAGAAAAGATACATGGAGGAAATGACCATTTTCATTAGTACATAAATTATCCAGAGAGAAAATTGTTGTCATTTATTGTACAGATATTTACACTAAAGATGATCAATTCACGCATACAAAAGACAAGATGATGTAATGAAAGATTATTAGTAAATGTTATTTTATTCTAATCATTTTCAAATGCGAAAACTATCCAATCATTCCTTTGCCAACCCCTCCCCAATCATTTCCATTATTAATTCTCTAATCATTTCCATTATCAAAAATTTACAGTCATTTCCATTGCCAAAACCCTCATTTTGGATTTTAAAAAAAATTGATGTAAGAAAATGAACAGCTAGCTCTGGTGGATGAAAGTGCAGATGTGTGATGAATACTCTAGCATGACTGTCTCTAAACAGAGCACTTGCATTTCATTGTCTAATTGGTCCATGCCATCCCCACACATATGATGTCATGGGCCATATGACACAATCTTTTATTTAGCTATCATTCTCCATTGTCCATGCCATCACCACACCTATGATATTATAGGCCATGTGACACAATAATCTTTTATTTAACTATCGATGTCAAAGCAGTCCTTTTGTCAGTGTCATCACCACACCTATGATATTATAGGCAATGTGACACAAGAATCTTTTATTTAACTATCGATGTCAAAGCAGTCCTTTTGTCAGTGTCATCACCACACCTATGATATTATAGGCAATGTGACACAAGAATCTTTTATTTAACTATCGATGTCAAAGCAGTCCTTTTGTCAGTGTCATCACCACACCTATGAATCAACTATCATTGTCCATGCCATTGCCACATGTTAATGTCATGGGCCAAGTGACACAAGAATCTTTTATTTAACTATCACTGTCCATCGTCCATTCCATCACCTCACAGTTGATGTCATCAAAGTCCAGCAATCCATTAGTCCATCATCATCATACAGTTGATGTCAGAACAACCAGACAAGTCTTTGGATTCTTGTATCAGCTTGTGTGTGTGCTCATGAGGGTGCAAAAATGTTTTAAAAAAGATTTCTTCTGCAGATTTAACCATTTCTAATTCAGCAAAATTAAAGTCATTGTGGAATGGTTCTTTTTGTCGCAGTGTAGGTAATGCAGTGATACTTCGAATGTTTCAATATATCATTTAATAACTAATAATATTGTCATTGTTATCATCACCATCTTCATTAATTCACCACCACCACCATTAATTGTTTGAACTTTTAATTGGTACCATACAGCCAGTACTGTGTTGATATACCATAAACCATTTACAGGGGGCCCTGAGTGGATAATGTGACTTGGTGGGACATCATGCTACATGTCTTCAGCATGATGCCCCAGAACTTTACATCACTATAAAATGCCACACTGCAGACAGAGTAGTGATATGACTGAAAAATTGTTAAAGCTATTAAAAATCATAATTACATCACATCACTCATATTGGCCATCAGTCCATGTAACACATTTAGCCATGAGGCCATGTGACACTCTTTGCCAGGAGGCCATGGGAGCTAATGGTATAGCCCTGTGTCTTATCATCCATCAACATTTGTTTCTTACTAATCTGGAGGTCATGTGCCTGATCAGATTTTGATCAAACTTTGAATATAGGGTTCTGAGACCATGATCCAACCTGAGTTATCTTCACATTATTGAGGTGATCTAGCATGTGATTGGCTGAGCATTTTACCACTTGAGAAACTATTTTACTAGCCTAATTTTAAGTCAAATTAAGGTATAGACTAATATTACATGCTTTCCATATTCCCAGAATTTGGATGATTTTATGGGCTTAAAAAGTGTTTTGAGGTCTCAAGGAGGGGGTGAGTGTGAGTCACATAAAAACAATATCTTTTCATATAAGCCTTTACAAAATTACTGGAAATTCAAATTTCATAGATAAAATAAAGAAAATAACATAACTGGCTTGTTTGAAGCATATAATATAGTGTTACAAACCAAAAATAATTGGCACAGCACTGTCCAAATAGCTTTACCACTCATGTGTAGGACATCATGCTATACATGTCTGTGGCATGATGCCCCCTGCTAGATATCACTATAAACTGTCACACTATACACATTGTAGTGATATGACTGAACAATTATTAAGGCTATGTTAAAAATCTAAATCACACACATGCTTCAGACATGTATGGTGAAATGTGGTTCCTTTTTTTCTCCAAATAAAATTTGAAATTATTTTTCAAAATAAAACTGTGTCAAGGGGATTGTGAGTCAAAAATCATGTTTCTCATATGGCATGTCTGTTATGGCAGGTATGATATTGTTAAGGAACAGATGAGTCTTTTATGAGGTGATATTTTATCAGATTGGCTCAGGGTTTGTTTTGTTTTTCTTAACATCTTAGAAACTTTAGTTTTGATACGATTTTTATAAGAAAGATATTTGTTAAATACGATTAATTAGCAAGATCCACAGATAATAATATTGTTATTTAGTATTTGATTTGCTGACTTTGTCAATTAACATTAACATTAATTCATATTAGATTTTGATAAATCTTGTTAGTCTTATATTATAAAGATATTGGATGAGTTTCATTATGAGCAAGGTCTCTATGCATATTAAATAGGTAAACTATTATCTGATTGGCTGAGCATGTTACCATTCTCATGAGCAAATTTGAATCTGATATTGTTCCAACAAGTGATTGTTTTAGTCTCTTTCTGTTATGAAAGGGATCTATGCATATTAAATGAGGTATAATCTAGCAAACAATTAACTGAGTTTGTTACTCATGATGTTCAGTCTGTAGAACAAATTTGAATTTGTTTCAACAGATAAAAAAAACTTCTATTAACTTTGTCTCAGTTTGTGTAATAAAGGAGATCAACAGGTAAATAAACTTATATCATCTTTGCCTCAGTTTGTGTAATAAAGGAGATCAACAGGTAAATAAACTTATATCAACTTTGTCTCAGTTTGTGTAATAAAGGAGATCAACAGGTAAATAAACTTATATCATCTTTGTCTCAGTTTCTGTAATAAAGGAGATCAACAGGTAAATAAACTTATATCATCTTTTCTCAGTTTCTGTAATAAAGGAGATCAACAGGTAAATAAACTTATATCATCTTTGTCTCAGTTTGTGTAATAAAGGAGATCAACAGGTAAATAAACTTATATCATCTTTGTCTCAGTTTCTGTAATAAAGGAGA